AGGACCTTCTAGGATGATTATAGAGCTCGAACAATTGAAGAGGAGAGTGACTCAATTGACAAAGAGCTCGAACTCAAAGCTTGAACAAAAGAATGACGTGGGACTTCAATAGGACCTTTTGGAATGATTGAAGAGCTTGAATGATGGAATACGATTGTGACTCGAATGGAGGAACACCGATGAAATTTTTCACATTTTCCTTTAACAATTGTGGGAGACCCATCGATGTCGATTGGCTGCCGACTAAAGGAAGGCTAAGGCCTTATCAATCGACAGACACACGGCAAGCACCGTACCACCCGATAGGTAGTAGTTAAGTTACTACGAGCTCCTTTTTCCATTCGCATCAAGGTAACTACCGAACGAGTGTTACTCGAACACATATTCATTTAGGAACGAAAATCCTAATCCAACACTACTTCAAACATTGAGGAGTTAATGATAAGGTCAATCATGTGTGGAAGATAAATTAATCCTATCAGAGTACATAATTTGGGTTTCAACTGAACATAATTTTCTACCACTGCAACCTTAAGTTTTTTTCTATTGATTCGTGATATGACTTAAGCATTGGAGTTCATTTCGCCGCATCCAACCATCAGTTCACCTAGTTTTTTTTTGTCTTGTAGGACGTTCGAGGCCGTGTTACCATATATATATACTAGTTATTGTCTGTGCCTGAAGACACAGAGTAATAAAAAAATTGTCAACAATAAAAATATTTATATTTACGTCTAAAATCAAATCACAAACATAAAGGAGATGAAATAAATTTAAGCATCGATTATAGTAGAGGTGAGCGGTGATAATGGTGGTGCGCGACAGTGGTGGTGGTGGAACACAGTGATGGTTGTGGTGAGTAGTAACGCCCGTGGTGTGATGACAACCATGGGTAGTAATTATGATAGTGGTGGTGAGTTTTGGGTGACAATCATGGGTGACAGAGGTGGTGGTGATAGGTATGGGTGGTGGTGGGCAACGGTGATGGTGGTTGGCAGTGGTGGGGGTGGGGCAACAACGATGGTGGTGACAATGGTGGGTTAGGGTGTTGGGTAGTGACAATGGTGGTGGTGGGTGATGACGGATGCTTCTAGGCGATAGTGTAATGGGTGGTGGCCAATGACAATTATGGTGGTAATGGTAGGTGTGATGGGAGTGGGTGATAGTGGGTGGCGACAGTGGTGGGCAATGACGGATGGTGGTGGTAGGTGTGGTGGGGATGGGCGACAGTGGTTGGCGACAATGGTGGGCGACGATGGGGGGGTGATAGGATGTGGTAGTGGGTGGCGGTGGGTAGTGATGAGTGCTGATGGTGGGCGACAGTAGTAGCAATTGGTAATAGGTAGCGATGGGATAGTGGGGGTGGTAGTGTGGTTGTGGCGATAGTTGTAGGGTGGTGGGGGTAGCGATGGTCGTGGGAGTGGTGGTAGTAGGGATAATGGTGGAATAGTGGTGACGGTGGTAGGGTGGCGGCATTAATGGTGATAGTGGAGGTAGTAAGGATGGTGTGGGTTGTGCAGTGGCAACAATGATGACGGTAGTGGTGGTAACGGTGATGGTAGTAGGGTGATGCCAGCGGTGGTGGTGGTGGTGGTAGGGTGGCGACAGTAGTGGTGATAGTGGAGGTAGTGGGGATGGTGTGGGTTGTGCGGTGGCAACAATGGTGGTGGTAGTGGTGGTAGCGGTGGTGGTGGCGGGGTTTGGATGGCAACAGTGGTAGGGCGGTGGGGATGGTGATGATGGGGGTAGTTATGGTGGTGGGGTGGTAGTGGTGATGATGGTAGGGCGATGGGGCGATGAGGGTGGTGGTGAGGCAGTTGGGGTGGTGATGAGCGTGAGGTGATTCAAAACACTATTTTTTTTTAAAGTACTTATAAAAAGTTATGAATACTAGAAGCACTTTTAAAAAGTCATCTCAAACACATCCTTAAAGTTCTATTTTTTTTATTAAATTTAAAGTGTTAATATTAGCTGTCGGATTAACTTTAAAATTAAATTTAAAGAGATCTCAACTGTAAAAAATAAAAGTCATTTTATTTATCTTTTAAATTTTAAATTATATTGTACTTTATTATATACTCGTTATTGTCTGTGCCTGAAGGTACAGAATAATAAAATAAATGATCAATAAAAATATATTTGTATTCACACCCAAAATTAAACTACAAACATAGAGAAAAAAAATAAATTTAAACACCGGTTGTAGTGGGATTGAGCATTGGTAATGATGGTGGGGCGACAATGATGATGGTGGGAGACGGTGATGGTTGACGACAACCGTGATAGTGGTGGCAGCCATGGGTGACAACAGTGATGGTGGTGGTAGGTTTTGAGTAATGATGGTGGTAGTGGCAGCCATGAATGACAGCAGTGGTAGTAGTGTCAGTCATGAATAACGGCAGTGGTAATAATGGGTGACGGTGATGGTGGTTAGCAGTGGTAATGGTGGTGCGACGACAGTGATGGTGGGTTGTGGTAATGGGCGGGGACAATGGTAGTGGTGGGTGATGACGGGTATTTTTGGCCTACAATGTGATAGATAGTGACAAATGGCAGTGGTGGTAGGTGTGGTGGGAGTGGGTGATAATGGATGGTGGTAGTGGTGGGCGATGACGCGTGTTGGTTCTAAGTGTGGTGGGAGTGGGTGGCATTGGCTAATGGTGATGGTGAGCGATGACAAGTGGTGGTGGGTTGTGGTAGTAAATGGTGGTAGGCAACAATGGTGGTGGTGGTGGGTGCTAATGGTAGGCAACAGTGATAATGGGATGATGGTGATAATGATAATAAATATAAGAATGAAACGACGATGGTGGTAAATGGTGGCAGTAGACAATTGTAATAGCAATCGGTGGTGGATGACGATGGTAGTCGTGTGGGTGGCGATGGTAGTAATGGGGGTGACAGTGAGGTAGTGGCAGCGGTGGTGGGGTGGGCAGTGAGGCAATGGCGGTGGTGGTGGGCTAGTGGCGACGGTGGTGGGAGTGGCGACAATGGTAGGGGTGGCGACGATGGTGGTGGTAGTGGTGATGGTGGTGGGGGTGGTGGTGAGGGGTGGCAGGGGTGGCAGGGGTGGTGGTTGTAGGGGTGATGATAAGACAGTGACGGTGGTGGTAGGATGGCAACAACAGTAGTAATGGTAATAGTGGGGGTGGGGGGTGGTGAGACTATGGTGGTGGTTTTGTGGTAAAGATAGTGGTGGGGTGACTGCAATGGTGGTGATGGTAGTTGTGAGTGGGAGATAGTGGTGATAGGGGGGGGGGGTGGGAGGTAATGGTGGTGGTGGTAACGTGGCGATAGTGGTGGCGGTAACGGTGGTGGTGGTGGGTTGGTGGGGCTAGTGGTAGTGGTGGGTGGTGGTGGTGGTGGGGTGGTGGCGGTGGTAGCAGTGGCGATAGTGGTGATGATGGTGAGACAATGGGGGTGATAGTGATAGTGATGGTGGTAGGATGATTTCAAATCCTACTCTTTTTAAAATACTTATAAAAAATTATAAGTCGTAGATGCACTTTTAAAAATTCACTCCAAACACATCTTAGGGCCTATTTTTTCCTATTAAATTTAGGATGTGAATTAACCGTCAGATTGACTTTAAAGAAAAATTTAAAGAGATCTAAATCGCGAAAAATCAAAGTCATTTGATTTATCTTTCAGGATTTAAATTGTATTTTATTTTATTATATAAATATATATATATGGTCAACCACTATTACGAGAAGGGAGATAATAATATTCAAACCCGTGACCTTAAAGTCTAATAACAGAGGTGATAGCTATTAGACTAATCGCTTTCCTCGAGTTACATATGAAAAGGGACAAATCAACTCGTTATTTACACCCGCTGTGGAGGATTTGACACGACTTGAGCATGCAATCCTGCTAATTCACCCACTATACTATCATTGTTCTTCAAATTTATGCACATGTACGTGCTTTATAAATTTTTCCGCATGATTTAGAATGCTTTACATGTTGTATCTAGTGCCTTTTCTTATCAATTTGTTCGATGTTTAATCACAAATGTAAATGGGACTCACTAAATTCGAGTTGGTTTACCATTAACACAAAGTGTCTCATCTGAAACTAAGAAAAAAATAGATAGAAAAGGATCCGAATCATACATAATTTGGAGAACTAGTTGATATCTAACAAAGCATGATTATTATATTTCTGCTCTGCTTCTAATACTTTTTAGCCCGGGCCCTCAATCATATAGTTTCTACCTAGTAAAGGAACTCTGAAGTAAAACTTGCTCTTGATAAAAAAAAAAAAAAAAACTTCAGCACGCACCCTCAATCTTATTTTTACATACAGAGAGATTGTTATCGTGACTGGAATATGTGACGCTCATGTTAATGGAGTAATATTACAGATTCACCCAAGCCATAAAAAATCAAACGTACCACTGCCAAAACATTGAGTAGCAGCAAAAATGATTAGGGGAATTGGCAGAAGGGAGAGAACAAATATCACTCCCTAAGGGGCAATTCAACAATATTTGGTCCAACTTGGTGCTTAAGGAGGGAGACTCTGAAGTTGTAATCCTTGATCTTACTAACAACAGGGCTAATACCAACTTGGCAGTCATGGCTAATTTGAGAGCCTACTTCAATTCCACATTAACCCAAACATGTTTTTCCATTGTCCCTGGTATCTCCATTTCTATGACCGGGTGTGCACTTAATTGATATGAACGTATGTCATAGAATCTTACACTAATGCTATAGGAAAAGTTCCAATCTCCGAAGCCTAGAAAGTCTACCTCCGGATACACATTGTTCTTGAAAGAATTTTCAAACTACACATCAACCTTGTACCAAAAAATAAAACAAAAAGATCAACCATGGGCTATGCCTGTCTTGTCTATGTTTTTGCTCCATACATCAATTCCACTAGCTGATACCTTAAACTTACCAAGTCCGCAATAAAATCATACTGACAAACTGATTTGACTGAGAACCACAATACCGGGTGTGGAAACGGGCAGGATTATTTTGCAGTTTCTGCATCCAAAACATTCCTCAAAGTTTTAACAAATCATTCAATTATAAACATATCTAATGAACACCTTGTACAGTTTGTGTGATTGACTTTATTTGTGAGTTCACAACAGTCATCAAATCAGAATCTTCCATACTTTGCCAGAAATTCAAGGAGGGGCATCAAATCGGCCATCCAGCATTATATTTCAGACATTTCAAAGTTCTTTTAACGGCATATAGGTTGCTATCCACACTGAATATTGGTTTGGCATAAGCCAAAAAAGGGTAAAATCCAACAAGAATTGTTGCAACACTTCAATCCATGTAAACAGGATAGGTCCGATACAGTTTTATTGTCACTGTGGGGAGACAAGCTCATGGAAACTGCTCTTGACAGCTAGAACAGCAGACACCTTACCAGACATCAGGACGGAGCTCCCCAGTTGCAGGAGGCATCCATCTTCCAGAGTGGTAGACATTTTCACCAACTTTCCAACCAGGTACATCCTTCATTATTCGGGCTTCTTCCTCGAGATATTTCTTCCATTCTTTGACAAATCTAACAAAACAAAAGATGCTCAAGTCAAATTGCATGGTAAATCATTCTTCGAGTGATGATACTTCTTGTTCAGTTTTTCTCCCCTCATTGATGAGTTGGAAGGCTAAAATGCCTAATAAAGGTTAGGCTTGTGCATGGACTATTGGTCAATTAATACTAAATTACTAATGACATGCTTCAAAGGAGAAGAGTTCAACTTTGTCTCTCCCCACAGTGATGCATTATGTGTCATGATTATAGTGAAAGTGTTTATCATCTACTCTTGCATTGCCCTGTTGCATGAATTTGTGAAATGGATTATTTTCATTGGCACGATTGAGTTGGGTAACCTTGGTCCTTTGCTTCCATGTTTGTTCAGGATTTTAAGGTCTTTGGGACACATAATAAAGGAGTCATGATATGGGATTGTGCATTGCTTGCTACTATTTGGATTATTTGGTGGAGAAATGCTCAAATTTTTTAAGATAGGAGTGAGGTGATTGAAGGTGTAGGGAACCATATCTTCTTTTTGCAACTTTTTGGGCCTCAATCCCTAAAGATTTTGAGAGAATTCCACTTTTTTGTATCTCGGCCGGATGGATGGCAGTTTGTGATCTATAGACTTTTTCTGTTTTTTTAATTGTCTTTATAATTTGCTTCATTGAGGTTGAATCTCTTGTCAAACCACTTTGCTTTATGTACTGATTTTTATAGTATAAATGAAATGTGTCTCTTATCAACGAAAAAAAAATATTTACATTATACAATGAAGAAGACTGCTCAAAAAAGAATGCAGTTACCTTTCATCCTCTTCAGCTTGAAGCATGGGCAAAATAGCCCGGCGAGCAGCATATTTTTCCTCCTTAATTTCCCTGTACAATGCAGATATTATCAGCATCATTGCCATAGTTTTTTATTTATTTCTTATGCTAAACAAAATCAGACAGTTTTTGTCCTCGATCATCATTATCTCACACTAAACTATTAATCATCAGATTTTTCACCATAAAAAATGCTAACATAAAGGAAGCAGCAGAAACACAAACATACCTCCTTCCTGCTGCCACAACTTTCATCGCCATTATAATCACCATAATTACTTTTAGTATAGGAAGGTCAGCAGTAGCAATGATAACTGTCAAGTAGCGGCAGAGAAAAAGGGACGACAATCTTCTTTTTCTCTAAATATGGGGTGACAGTTATAGGAAACAGTTTTAAGACAGTGACAAACCAGGCAGGATAGTATATGTTAAATACTCCCTTTCTTACACAAATAAAAACTGCGATCCTGAGATACATTTATAAGCCCTCTGCAACATTTGAGTTGATAATATAACGAGGATGTGGTACATTTGCATCACATTCAAAATGAGAGGAATTCTTTCTTAAAACTCTTGAATCAGTGGCAGTTAAAATCAATTTATGTTGTCATGAGCAGTCCCACTTACATCTGCACTTTAATGTAATTACATAAACCATGCTCCTTTGCATTTCAAGTTGTTTCCCATTCCCCCATCTTAATTACATATGCACAAATTTCATATCCTTGATATCATGATCACTCTAGCTCAAGGACATTAGTACTCAACTCAACTAGGCCCAGACTAATACAGTATAACAAGTCTTCTTAACGCTCAAGGAACAAACCATATAGCTCTCAATAATCGGCTACAATGTCAATTTTCACATGCTCTTCTTGACCTTTATGGGACTCAAGGAATTATCGAATACAACCTAACCCTAGTCATGCTAGTTCCCTATTAAGCTCCCATACAACTTGAGGGAGAAAGACTTCAACTGTATAGCCTACAAGGCAAGTTCAACAACTGAATACAAGAAGTTGGGAGGCCTTGTCCTATAAAGAGGAGTTGCTACCATAAATCCAGGGAAGAGAGAACTACAGGAGGGTGGTCGTAGATCATAACATTTGTACAAACATAGATGATGAAAACCCCTTGAGATTATATTAATCCCGTGCAGTCCTCATAGTACCATTAATGTGTTACGAATCAATAGTTGCTCACGCTCTCATAGTTCTTCAGTGCACATGCCTCAACCATCTTCCACAGTATTGCCACATGTCCTCCTTATTCCTTGTAGAAACCCAAGCTAAGACTTCTATATTCACCCTCATGAAACACCAATAAACTAAATGCCATAAACTCATCTCAACCCCCAGAGAATGATACCAACATTATTTAATATGCACTCACTTCTCTATAGTTGCAAGTAAAAAATTAAATTCATAGAAGGAATTGTATTTAAAAATTTTCCAATATAGAAATTCCACTTAGAAATTCAGACAGCCCAAACTTGACATTTTTAACTTCATACTGTCCACCATTCGTCCAAATTTCAACAAATTTCGAGTAACTATTTTATTCATTTGTATAGATCATAAGTACAATAATGGAAAAAAATATATTAGAACCACCATTTTAATAAGATTTCAACTCCTTAAATTTACAACCAAGTTTTGCCCATTTCAAATTCAAGGTTTCAATCCAACCCTAGTCGCTCAAGCATCCATAGAATTTATTAGCAATTTTTGTAGAATTAGGTGTACACTGCAAAGCTGAAAAGTCAATTCCTTTGTAAAAGGATTTATATCACGAATAAGCGTAAACCTAGTCAAATATTTTCGACATTTCTAGGGTTCTTTTCAAATAGCCATTTCCATTTTCAATCTTCTACACTCATCATTATCACAATAACGAAATTCAAACATCTCTGCATCTAGAGCTACATATATACTTATGCATAAAATATAAGTATCACATTTCCAGGGCTCTTCCCAATAAATAACTGAATAGTGCTTGTTCCATAATTATCAGTACAACAGAAATCAAACATTACCCACATCAAGATTCAATTACATGCTATAGTGAAAAAGCTAAAAGAAAAAGATTTCAAAAGCTCACAACTGACAAAATCCAATATAAACTGGCCAAAGCAAACAAAAAGTCAAACAACACCCACATCATGCCCCATTTGATCAATACATAAACAAAGGGCTAAATATATACCGATACATATGCCATCACATAATGAGGACCAATTTCAAATCAGCCAAAACCCAGAAAAAATTCCCCATTCATAAGTTCTTTTCAATTTAATAGGCAACTACTTCAAAAATAAATCAAATTCACACAAATCTAGAGGTGAAAACATAAAAATAAATTTGCACATACAGTTAGAGAAACCGGGATGAAAGAAATGAATCAGTACCTACGGATCTTGTTGCCTTGGCCGACCTGGTACATCCCCCAAGAGAAAACGCCAAAAGCACCAAGGAAGATGGCAACAGCACTGGGGCCCTTGTTGGGGATCCGTCGGGCGAATCGGACCGGTGCAAACCCTCCCGGAGGCGGTCCGTCCTGCAGCACAGGCATGTCCTTGACGCTAGCCATTCCGGCTTTCTTCCTTATCACTGCCTCGGTCATCTTCTTCCTTCACTTCTTTCTCCTTCGATTCAGACTCTTCAGTTTCTAGTTTCTAGTTTCTATTTTCTAGCTGAACTAGTATAGAGTTTGGGAACGGCTCCTATGCGGTAACCCAATTAGCGCATGACATCAAGTGGAACGCCATCGTTTGGAGTATTTTTTATAATTTTTTTTTTATCAAAAATAATGTCGATTTTGGTCCTAAAAATTAACTTCAGCAATCTCCTTTTTTTTCTACTGCTTCTTCTTTGTCAAATTGGGACTACTTCTCCCACATTTTTTACAACTTAGTCTCCCTTTTCTTCTCAACTCATTCTCCTTCTTCTTCTTCGTCAAATATAGTGAACGCCAAAAGTCACGTAAGAGAAGGAGACTTGGATGGAGATGGGGCTTTTAATGAATTCGAATTCTGTGTTTTAATGTTTTGGTTCAGTCTTGAGTTCGTCTGGGTCTGGCTTGTCTGTGATTGGGCAGTTACCGCATAACATGCAGTTTAATGAAACAGTTACGTTTCACTGTAGTTTTTGATATTTTTTTTTAACTGACCCTTACCAAAACGACATCGTTTTTGGTCCAGCTAAAAATTAGATTTGAAACTTTCATTTCTCCCGCTTCTTCTTTGACGTCGCAGTACTCCCGCCTTCTTCACAACTCAAACTTCTCCATCTTCTTCTTCGTCGGGTTTTTTTCCTCTTTCTTCGTCGGGTTTGGTTGCATTCAAGCTTGAATAGGTTCTTCTGACTGTTTTTCCCTTTACTGAGTCACAAATCTTTAGTGAGTATGTTGTTTCTATTGCTCTTTCTCAGTCAATTTTGCTATATAATCATTTTTATTTCATAAGTGTAACTTCAAATAGTTGTAGTTTTTCTTTCTGGATTTACAAGTAAAGATGTGATTTTTAATGTGTGTAACTACTCAAATGATTGAAAGTTTGTTTTGATTAGACTTGTTTGAAGTTTATAAGTAAGAACTAAAACTTTAGAGTTTCTTTTTGGGTGTTTAATTTGGAAGGAGCTAATGATTGTATTGGGTTTGAGTTATAGGGTTTTCCAAGTTGAGATTTCTTCATTATTGTTATGGTAAAAAACACCAGTTTTTCTGAATTCTGTGTGATTGTAAGGGATTCCTCCTTAGTAAATATCTTTTGTGCTATTGCAATGAATAATGGAAAAATATGCAGTCTTTAGAATTTTTGGTACAAAAATGAAAAGAAAAAAGAGTTTCTGCCACTACTTATTCTGTTTGGAAAGAACTGCTATCTTGGACATGGTTTTTTTTTACAAAAATTATGTGTATTAATCTTTTGTCAATAAGCGTATATCATGACCGAAGTGAATGACGAAGGTGGACTCCAATAGCCGACCTAAATGATTGAGACATGATACTTGGTTTGGTTTATCAATCTTTTGCCAAATTTAGAAAAAAGTACCAATATTAGCTCTACCCATGGAGTTCTGGCACCACCTTAGCCTTCCTAGAGTTTTATCATGCTTCATTTTGTTGTCATGGTTTCTCTATTTGATTTGGTTTTGCAAAAAGATGACAGTTGTTGTATGGTATGAAGATATCTTTTTCCCTCTTATAGGTGTTCCATAGCCTTAAAACTTCATGCCAATTTCTTTGTACATGTTTTTTTTTTTTTTTGTTGGCTTGTTAATGAAATAATGATTAATTTTCTTAAGAATTATGTAACCTTATATACATGACATCTAGGTCCATCTATGATTGCAAGTTACATGTAATGTCATTTCAATTAAACTTCTTATTGTAGGATACTATGATGGATGATTTGGGAGTTAATGCGACTGATAATATACCTCATATTTGTATGCAATTTAATGCGGAGGAAGATGCTTATGTGTTTTACTATAGTTATGGAGGGTATGTGGGATTTAGCGTGAGGAAAGATTTTCAGAATAAAAGTTTGAAACATGGCGTTGTCATTTACAGAAAATTTGTTTGTTGTAAACAAAGTCAAAGGGGTCGTGAAAAAAGAGAGTGCCAAATAAGGAAGCTTCGAGCAGAAACAAGAACAAATTTTCAAGCTCATATGTGCATATCTCTTAATAGAGAAATTGATAAATTTCTTGTGGTGAAATGGGACGACAACCATAACCATCCTTTGCACTTGACTAAATGTATGTATATGATGTCATCCTAATAGAAGGTTACCACAGCACAAGGAATTAATATTGATATGGTAGCGGATTGTGGATTGTCACTTAAGACTTCCTATGATCTTTTAAGTACTCAGTCTGGAGGAAAGGAAAGTCTTGGTTTTCCTCATCAAGACCAAAAGAATTATCTCCGTGAAATGAGGCAATGAGACTTGAGGTATGATGAGGCGGGTAGTTTGTTGAAGTATTTTCAAACAGAAGCAGTGAAAAATCCATTATTCTATTATGAAGTGCAAATGGATGCGGAGGAGCATATTACTAATATTTTTTGGGCCGATCCAATGATGATTATTAAATATGGCAACTTTGGAGATGTTGTCTCATTTTACACTACTTTCAAAACGAACAAGGAGTATCGACCCTTTGCTTGTTTTACTGGCTTCAATCATTTCAAGGAGATAATCTTATTTGGAGCTGCATTATTGTATGATGAAACGACAACATCATTTCAGTGGTTGTTTGAGACATTCCTACAAGTTATGTCTTGAAAATATCCTATTACCATATTCACAGACCAAGATCAAGGGACGACTAAAGCTATTTCTTTAGTGATGCTAGAGACATACCATGTGTTATGTTATTGGCACCTTTGTCAAAATACTTTGAGACATTTGGGGAACATATATAAAGATGGTTTACATTTTTTTGCTCAATTTAAAGAGTGTGTGTATGCATATGAGGAAGAGCATGAATTATTTGAGGCTTGAGAATCGTTGTTTGCGGAGTATAATTTGTATGATAATATGTGGATGAAATCCACTTGAGCATTGCGAGAGAAATGGGGGCATATGTATATGAAGAGGACTTTCACTACAGAAATGAGAAGCACACAATTGAGTGAGAGCTTGGATGTAGCCTTACAGAAGTACTTAAAGTCAGACCATGACATCGTTTAATTCTTTGTACATTTTGAAAGAGTTGTGAATGATAAGCGGAATAAGGAGTCAGACTTAGAATATCAAGTTAGACAAAAATTACCTAGATTGAAGTTAAAAAGAGCTCCAATGTTAGTGCAAGTAGGACAAGTGTACACTCCTACTCTATTTGACATGTTCCAAGAGGAGTATGATATCTTTCAGTATGCTATTGCGACACCATGTGATGTGTTGGATGAGTGGCATCAATTTGTGTTTCGATTATATGATGAACATAAAGAGTATTTGGTCATGGTTAAGGCTAATGAGGAGCTAGTCAATTATAGTTGTCAAAAGTTTGAAATGGAGGGAATATTATGTGGTCATACACTTAAAGTCTTGGACATGATAAATATTAAGCAAATTCTCGAGCAATACATATGTAAGAGATGAAGACGAGATGCAAGAAAGAGTTGTAGGACAACCCCCATTTTAATGTCAAATGAAGAGAATCCCAAGTTAATGGTGGCGTCAAATTACAGACAGTTTTGTCCTAGAATTGTACAACTAGCTGCTTAATGCTCTGGTCTTCAACCTGCATATCAATTGGTGTCACGTAGTGTTGAGAAATTGTTCAAACAAGTGGATAGTTTGTATGCATCAATTGGTGATGGTGGCGATGATTCAATCCATGAAAATATTGACCCAATCCATGAAAATATTGACCCAAGTGGAATAGAAAATGTTGATCCAAATCTTCTCTAAGTAAAAGGTTTAAAAAGAAAAAAAGGTGGTTACAAGGGTTGGGGTCGACTAAAATCTTGGTATGAGAAAGGAAAAAAGTGAAAAAAAGAGCTTCCCAACCATCACATATGTCTACGGTATCGTATAAATATAATTGTAGATTTTTTTAATTCACTTCATATTTTTATTCACTTTATATTTTTATTCACTTCATATTTTTATAAATATAATTTTAAGTATTTTTGTTTTCCAGGTACACGGTTTCAGTCACCCGTGTACATTAGCATATGGTCATTCGATGTCTTCTCAAGCTTCAAATAGTGTACAAAGTGTTATGGTATGTTACCTTATTATTAATTTTATTGTTTGACATATGTATCAAGTTTCTTTGTCTGACTCCTTCTCATTAATGTAGGGTACTTCAACTAATTCAACACATGTGCATTCTTTAAATGATGCTGAATCATTTTTCATGAATAGGGGATATAACTTGTAAGGATGCTTGGAGGATCAACAGTTATAAGGATGCAGATGGAGGCTACTAGTTGCTTGTTGAATCATTTAATGAACCATTTACTTTTGTTGGATCATTTTGTTGAAAACTATTTATTTTTAATGACTGTGATCTTTTTTTTATGATTGTGATATTGTTTTTGATGAATGTGATATTTTTTAGATGAATGTGATCTTTTTTGATGAATATAATCTTCCAAGTCACAACAATATACAAAACCCACAATTTCATTCAAATTAAACGCACAATTCAATTACAACACAAGTTTCATTACTACATCATTGCTCTTATAGACCTATTTCACTAGAATCACAAATATAATAATTACCACTAGTAACGTGACTACAAACATATTTGACTTCAATGCATTACATTGTGTTCAATTCGTCATACATTATCTTCAATTTTTCATACATCCATCCTTTCATTTTTAATTTTTGAAGAGGGGAGAGTAATAGGAGTCATCCACTTAAAAAAGTAACTGGAATCGTTTGGACATTTGCAGTATAGCTTCCTAGGATTTTTTTCAGATTCAGAAACTTTGATAATTGCTCTTTTGTTACAAATGAGACAATACATATTGCGATATCTTAACTCTTCATTGCTTGTTGCGGTGCTTGAAGATGTCATTCTTGAACTAGGTAGAATTGTTTGAGCCAACTATCAGCTAATGGATGAAAGTTGTTGAACATACACAGAATATTGCAAATCAATTGCGGTATTTCAACAAATATAAACAAGGAAGATAAAATAGTAACTTGTATAGGCCATATAAAACATATTATTTACAGATACCATATAGTAGTTCATATAGCAAT